TGGGCAAATGGGTCGCCCGTCTGGGCAAATGGGCGACTCGTTTGGGCAAAGTTGTCACACGTTTGCTCAAACCGGTGACCATGTAGCAAACTGCACCGGTTTAATTAAACGGCTCTCCGGAGCCCGTTTGATACTGAACGTACAGATCGGCGGCGTAGGCACGCCTAGCGTTTCAGCCGTGGCAGCCAATGTTTCCGGAAGGCTGGGAGCGCCGGCTCGTCGATTTCAGATCGTCCGCGTAATGCAAGTAATTATATTTATATTTCAATTGCGCTGATGTTCGCTTATACTGCAACTAAAACTAACACTTTCTTTTTTTTTTTTTTTTTACGTGAACGCGCGCGACGTTGGTGAGCCGATATTTTTGACAGAACTTTAAAGCTTTGTAAAACTTTGTTGCCTCAATTTACTTATTCAGCTCGAATCTGTCTCGCAGAAGACGCGACCGCGTGAAAGAATGTACGTCTAGACTCCGTTTCACTTTAATTCAAGACGCAGCGAAGGTAGAACGCATATAAAACCCAAATTTATTTTCGCGGCCCCTATTTTTCGCGAATCGGTCACAGATGATATAATCGCGACCACTAAATTTCGCGAATTCCAGACGCCTGCGTTGAAAATCTTAAGAACCGAAATTTTCGCGCGCCCTTGAATTTCGCGAATTCTTCAATTCGTGAAATTCGCGAAAATTGAGGGCTCGCGAACATTAAGGGTTTTACAGTACACGCGGCTGCAAGAACATCGAGCATTGCGAGAGCAGGCCCGCCGTTGCAGCAATAAAACTACGAGCTCGCGCTCAGTATTTTCTTCGCTCGGGCGCAAGCCGAACTTCTGGCCGCCCCGCCGCCATTTCCAAAATTCAAACGCGCTAAAATGCGCGCGCGCGCGCGCGCGTGCGTGTTTTTTTTTTTTTTTTTTTTTTGAGGTTACAAAAACGCATCTCTCTGGAATGCCTGGGGAGAGGGAGAGGGGCTGTCCCTGTGGTCCTCGCCCCCTCCCTCCTCTCTTGTCACCCGAAAAGCGGCGCGCGAGCTACACGCTGGTAAGCATCGAGATCCGGAAGGGTGCGCCTAGCAGCCGCTTTTTTCTTTTTCTGCTTGTTGTCAGTTCCAGCTCGAACTTCGCGCGTCCACCTGCTTCGACCTGTCGCCTAACCCTGCGGTCTTATTAGGATGTCTCTCGACAACGTATTGGATGTGCACCAAAGCTACCAGTGTTCGAAAAGTCCTACGTCTATATCGGCAACAAGCAATTCTTCAAAGAAGTCAGGAATTCTTGCGGTTTGGTTGGGTTCGGCAACTGACAGCTTGTGCGCCACATCGTGTTGAAACTTCCAAGAAGCCGTTCCCTCTCATTTGTGTTTGTGTGGTTGTCCTGCTTCGACCGTGTCGACAAATATCACGGATTACATCTTTCAAGTCCGCTATTTTTATGGTAAGTGCACTGCAACCTACTTCTTGGCAACGATTGACCGTTCTTCTATTCGTACTCTTCCAGATTATCTATATAATTATGCAACCACTATTCTCGCGGCAGCCGGGCGAATAATTTCCCGAAAGTCTACCTTCATAGTCTAGAATTACCTCGGTTCTTGTTTGGTTTGATATCTTCTCGGTTGTATAAAAGCTTAGAGTGCCTCTCACATTTCACAGATCGCTTGCACGTTTGTACCTGTCTACAGAAGGCGTAATAAACTTTGAGGAGAATTGAAAACAATCTTTTGTGTCTGTTTTCCTGTCCATTTGCAAACACCTACGTGAGTACATTTGTTCTACGTGTTTCCTCCATGTTATAAATAGTTTTATGAGTTTCGGAACGTCTTAAATAAGTTTAAGATAATCAACCTACCAGACGATCCCCGTTTAGGGCTAGCGCATAATTCCCCGATTCGAATGGCACGTTCAAACGTGTGGTCACGTGCAAGGTCGAACGGGCACCTGTATCAAACGGGCACCGGTATCAAACGGGCACCTGTATCAAATGGCTACCGTTTCGAGCGGGTACCGTTTCAAACGGCTACCCGTATCCCATAATCACGTTTGATCCAAACGGGTCGACAAGTTTGCACCCGTTTGATTTACCAGTTTGCCACCCGTTTGAATTTCAAATGGTTTTTTTCAGTAGGGTCCCTGGAGGTCACAGCAGTGCCTGTGAGGATCTCGGGCGGGGGTCGCCACGACAGGTGGGAGGTCGTTGGCCGTGCCCTATCGCAAGTTGGGGCCCAACGGAGATCACTACCCAAGCGAACCATTTGTATCAGTGTGCTCCTGCAAGTGCTGGGGAAAACTGGCATGCTGCGGTCGAAATCCCGCAGCAAAGCAGCATTGACCCCCGCCGCAACGGAACAAGCCCTCCCCACAACAGCTAATCGCAAGCCTGGTAGAGGCCTTCCCATAGTGGTTCTTTACCAGATCACTGGAGGCGGGCACCTCGGTGTGGGTGACCTAAGCAGGCAACTGTTGTCGGACTGCTGCTACAGGTGCGAGCAGCCCGACCGCCAACGAAACTAGTGTCCAAGACTTCTGGACACTACAAACAAGAGGTGGCACGAGACGGCGGGAAAGGGGCTGGAACCAGAACAACCAGGGAAACTACCACGGCCGCCAACGCTGAAACCAGACAGCCACTGGCTGAAAGCCGTTACAGTCCCGGTGCTGCGGCAGTGAGGCCGCAGCACAGATTCCATCGGAATGTCGAATCCAGCCCGAGCCTATCATCATTGAACCGTGCATGACGATCACTTTGCTCAGTTTTCCTTTTGCTGCACTTTTGGATTCTGGGGCCGCTATCTCACTTAGAGGGGATTTCGTTTTCGAACTCTGCAAAGCAAGAAAGATAAGTCTCCGGGAATGCGAAATTCGACTACAGCTAGCTTCTCTGACCTTCGAGAGGCTTGAGAAAATCTAGACGTCGCCCGAGTGCAGCAGTCGTAACGGTACAACTAGGGGCACCGTGACCTGCAGTTCCAGTTGTCGCAGTTTAATTTGAATACAGCTGACGGCAGCAAAGGGCTGGAACCAGAACATCCAGGGAAACTATCACGGCCGCTAACGTTGAAACCAAACAGCCACTGGCTGAAAGCCGTTACAGTCCCGGTGCTGCGGCAGTGAGGCCGCAGCACAGATTCCATCGGAATGTCGAATCCAGCCCGAGCCTATCATCATTGAACCGTGCATGACGATCACTTTGCTCGGTTTTCCTTTTGCTGCACTTTTGGATTCTGGGGCCGCTATCTCACTTAGAGGGGATTTCGTTTTCGAACTCTGCAAAGCAAAAAAAGATAAGTCTCCGGGAATGCGAAATGCGACTACAGCTAGCTTCTCCGACAACCTTCGAGAGGCCTGAGGAGATCTAGACGTCGCCCGAGTGCAGCAGTAGTAACGGTACAGCCAGGGGCAATGTGACCTGCAGTGCATTTCATGCCGTGCAATTTATAAACATTGTACCTCGTGCTAACGGCTTGTAATCCAGATATCGGTTTACCCATCTTGTGACAGGGGACAACCACCTACCTGGCAGCCCTTCTATGGACGTCGCCGAGCCAGAGGCAAGTGCCAGTGTCACAGCAGCTACAGGAGCAGACCCGGGTCCCCCCACCGAGCAGACCGTACCTGCTCCTGCAGCTGCTTCAAGCTGCAGCAGCGACAGGGTGGCGGCGACTCAGGATGAAGGCAGGCCGGCCAGAGGGAGAATGATGCTCCTAGAGCAGGCTCTCTCAGCCGAGAACGACGTACGAAGTTCTCTGCTGAGGGCAGAGTCTGCCATTCGAATCAAGCTCCTTGAAGAGGAGCAGCAGATGAAGGTGGCAGAGCACCAGATGAAGGTGGCAGAGCACCGCGTGCGGCTCCAGGTGGAGCAGACGAACTTAAAAATTGCGGAGTGGAAGCTCAGAGAGCTTCAGCAGGGAGGCGAAAAATAAAAAAAAAAAGTGCCAATGCCTCGACTTTTGAAGGTATCTAATTTATTTCACAGAAGTTGAAAGCTGGGGCTATATCCAGAAAAGGATAGGGTGCGATTTCAGCTTGTTTCACATTAGGCATGCTTTGAGAAAATGCATAATTACATAATGGCTCCTGCCCTTCATCTATTATCATTTGGACTAGTAAAAAGCCACTGCACAGACACTACAGCAAAGGGTTTGGCAATATTTTCACATTTTTATTGGTGAATAAACAGGAATAGAAAAAACAGTAAAGGCATTTGCGAAATACACACAAAAAAAAAAACTTATTAACATATGAACATACCTCCAGACGATGCTTATAGGACAGTTTCATTGGACGCCGTGCTATTTACTCCAGTACAATGAAAAAAAGCCACTTTCACGACAAAAGCTTTAAAGGGGCGATGGAACAATTTTTCGTACTTCGTGCAGATACTGCGTAAAACAAATCCCCAAAGTTTATGAGCTATGAAACACGCTTGTGTTTTTAAACCCGTGCAATAAAAAACGCCGAAGAAAAAAATGGAATAAATGGCAGAGTTTCCCCCTTTAACTTGCACCCAGAAAAAGTGGCCAAGTGATTTGGAGACGATTATATGGCACCAATGTTAATCATAGTACAGGACACGCGCCGAATCGCAAACATTGTTGGTTTGGCTATTGTCATCGTTGCAGCACTTGGACACGAGCCACTACCTGAATGATTGCCAAGCTGTTATCACATGCCCAAATCGAGTGCTCACGCAATACTATAAGGTCCAATCTGTGAGCCGCATTCAAATATTGTCACTCTGAGGGGGGACTACACCGACAATGCGACTCCTGAGCGTTTGTGTAGGAGTGATTGAAAGAAAATGGTTGCTTTTATCTGAAATTACACTGCAACAAAAAATGTTTCTTGGTCAGCGGCATTGCATTTAAGTATACTAGGGTTCCTCTAGTGCCAGTAAGCTTGTGTAAAGTGAAAAACATTATAACTGAATATTTTTCTACCGCCCCTTTAAGGCAAAGCTCGATCAGTCATTGCAGAAGAGAGCTTCCACTTCGAAAGAAGTTTCTACTTGAAGCTTCTTTCGATGATTTGCTCCCGTTTCTGTATGCCCGTGAGGGAGTCCTCCACGGTGTCCACGGCGGGTGGCAGGTGGACTGGCCGTGTGGCCCTCCTCCTGGGTCTCCGTGCCCTGGGCACAACTGGCGGAGCTGGGGGAGGTGGAGGCTGTGGGTCCTTTCTCAGGCAGGCCAGGTTGTGGAGTGCAGCGCAGGCTGTGATGATCTGCACGGCCCGACGTGGCTTGTGCTGCAGCCTCATGTCGAGGCAGGGGAAGCGCCGCTTCCAGATGCCAAAGGCCCTTTCGACAGAGTTTCTCGTCTTGATGTGGGCCTTCTGGTACCTGATCATGTGAGGGAATATCATGAGTGGCTAATTAAACTATAATATTGCCTGTAGATCCCTTTCATATCTTTCTCCCGAGTAGCTCGATTTCAAAATGCTCCAGCACAACGCACTAGCCGCAGACAATGACAAGCAGGAGAAGCTTCACTTGTCCCGCCTCCAGCATCAGCATCATACATTCGGTAACACATTGTCATCTTGTGCACTTCGTGCATACATGTGCAGCCAAAGCGTGCGAGAAGGCATTGAGCGTGCTCTGGAGGCAGGGCAGAAAGACTCCCTGCAGTTCTCATTCTGTCAGTGACTATAATCCTCAATAAGGGCAGATATTTTCGGGGCTAACGTTGTCACACCCAGTATCTTACTTATTTTGTTCATACATTATTTAACCTAAAGTTGAGGCTTGGGCGAGTTGGTACATACTTCGGAAATTAAAAACAGCGCGGAAAGACGAGGACCAGACAAAGAAGTGACACGGACGTAGCGCTGACTTACAACTGAGTTTATTGAACGCAAACTCGCAATATTTATTTGCGGTGTCACGAACAAAAGAACATAAAAAAAACATAAAAAAAAAAAGATAGCGAGGCTGGGTGCAGCATGTGTAAGCAGTCCTTCTGTGGCCCTATCAGGCAAAGAGATGAATTTTCTAGTTCCGTGACTTGCTCGATTTTTAGCACATACTCTGTACGGCTGTGTCATGGCGCATTTCATTATTATTTTTTTTCAATGTTTTTTCAATGTTTTTTTTTTCAATGTTTTTTATCATTGTTTTATTTTTATTGGTGATACATCACATGGGCTGAATTTTTTATGTTCTTTTGTTCGTGACACCGCAAATAAATATTGCGAGTTTGCGTTCAATAAACTCAGTTGTAAGTCAGCGCTACGTCCGTGTCACTTCTTTGTCTGGTCCTCGTCTTTCCGCGCTGTTTTTAATTTCCGAATTATTTAACCATCGCAAATAGCGCACAAGTTCAGTAGTCTTACTACTGTTCCACGTTTGTATATAATGTTTTCCTTGTCTTTAATAAAGTAGAAAGTTGGGCTAGTTGATTCTGGTTATACATAATGACAAATACACAGCGCAAAAGGACAAAAAGGGAAGAGACACACCGGATAGAACACAGCGCTGTTCTATCCGGTGTGTCTCTTCCCTTTTTGTCCTTTTGCGCTGTGTATTTGTCATTATGTATTTTCCTTGTCTCCACACATAGCCCTACATTTGCTCAGGCACTTGTAGGATTTACTTGCCTGCCTCGTGGTGTGTTAGCTGGACCGGGATCTGCCAGGGGGGTCATCAGGAAGAAGAAGCAGGCGTAGCCCATGTCCCCAAGCAGCACCCCTGGTACCCGGCGTTCCTCGTACAGCACCCGCACACGGGAGTTGTCAAATATCCGGCTGTCGTGTACCGACCCGGGCCAGCTCACAACCACATCGTAAAATTGCAGCTGGGGGCCGGTGACAGCCTGCAAGTAGATTGCGTCGAAATGAAACATGGAGACATGAGTAAGAAAAATTAGTGGCAATGGTCCCATCGAATGAAGCTGTCGTAATACTCGACAAATATTTTCATTACAAAAACTGCTCAAGTGATGTGTTCTGACAATGTCAATATGAACATTGTAAGCTTCGAAAAGCATGAATATTGCAGTTCATTTGGAAGCGAATATCAAATAACGTATTATTTGAACTACTATTAGAAAATTAGAATATTCGTGCAGTCCTACTTTTTGCACATAGAATTCGTGCAGCCCTACTTTTGCACATAGCATCAAGGGGAAAAAAAATCTGTACTTTCTTAATTTTCAGTGGCATCGCCAACCATGTCATGTGCCAGACGCTTTAGAGCAACATGTAGCAGGTTATTCATTCTGGCTCAGTTTGGCACAGCAGCTGAACCACTGCATATAGCGAAGCAAAGACGAGAGGGCTTTGACTACAATGCTTGGGGCAGAATTTCCAAGTTTCATGCAGTCGAACATGAGCGCATACTCCAATGAATAACATCTCGCGATCGCGCAAGCGTTGCTCTTTAAACTCTAAATTCGGTAAACCGCGAACTCTGCACTCGTTACCTGGACGTTGATTGAGAACACTCCCTTGCGGTTGCGGAACACCTCCGCGTCGTCGCCGCCGGGGCTCTTGATCCGCACGTGGGTGCAGTCGATGCACCCGGTGACGCCGGGGAATTTCGCAAGTGCGAAGAAATCGAGCATCACCGTGTTGAATTGGGCGGCGCTGGGAAAGTGAACGAGGTCCCGGAACAAGTGCCTCGCGATCAGCTGCGTAACTACTCCGACCGCGCGGCACACTGTCGGTTGGGACACGGTCACGAGGTCCCTAGTCACAACCTGGAAGGTCCCGGCACCATAAAACCGCAGCGTGACCAGCAGTTGCAGCATGGGGGTCAGCGGAAGGCCTCTGCAGTCGGTGCTCGTTTGTAGCGGCAGCATCCCGAGCAGCTCTCGCACGGTTCCCTTCGTAAAGCGGTACCGCGCCAGGAACTGCCCGTCGTTGTAGCGCTCCATTGGGTTCTCCCTATCCCGAATTGATGGTCGCGGGACTCGTGGCAAAGGGAACGCGTCCCCGAAGACGACATCGCACGCGCGAGTTGCGAATTCGAAGGCGGAGATCCTCTCGGCGACGTCGCTTCGCCAAGCCGCCATGTTGAAACGACTACGAAGTCGCGTTCAAGATAGGTCCAACCCAGTCTTGAAATTTGGGCACTTCAAGTTCGCTTCAAGCTCCGTTCAAGATCGGTTCAAGTTAAGGTGCGTTTATGAAGCGCGCTTGCTCGTCGCAAGACGGACTTGAGCAAGTTGAAGCTCGACTTCAGAGCAAGTCACATCTATGAATTCGGGGGTAAGCCTCTTGCGACGTCTTAGGACCGGATACGCTGCAGCGGAGCTGGTCCTAAGGCATCGAAAGAGGCTCATAAACCGGTCTTGTCTCTCTCGGTCGTGCTCGGTTGGAAGTCTGTGAACGAGCCTTAACTTGAGGCTCTCTAGCATCTAATGACGTCGTTGGTGCCATCCCGTGGTATCTTAAAGGGGCCCTGCAAGCACTTTTTTGCTGGTTTTCAATTTGCACCGAACCTCAGCGCACTGAACGTAGTAACTTAATGAAACTTTTCTTTTCTCGAATTTCCCCCTATTTTAGAAGTTATAGGCAAATTAAAATTACAAAAACAAGCGAAAAATAACCTCCTTCATTGGTTGCTTCAGCGGGCGTGGACTAAGGGAGGGGTACAGTGAGCTCAGCGAGCGCTCACTGCTGCCGCACTCCGTGTCGACGGCGCGAGAGGGCACCACTAAAGCATGATTTGGATAGGCTCTATGCAGCGCGCAGCCAGAGCGGCTCTCATTGCATTTGCTGCGCGATTAAACACTAATTCGGCATGACACTTCATTGGCCACAAACGACAGCAAACGCGGGGTAAAGATCAGTTCAGAATGGGAGCCACTTCGCGCTGCCATACCACGAAACGGCCAAATTGCAAGACAAAGCTGCTCGCCGAAGGTCTTCGGAACGCACGGAGCCGGTCGGAACCTCCAGTCCCTAAACGACCGCAGCGCCACCGCGTACATCCGGGACCTTTCCGTGTCAGCGCCTTATCCCACAACTCCTTTCTTGTATGCGCCGCCTTTTCCACCGCTTGGTGGCGGGATGTCGATGGGTCATTTCTTGTTTCCGTACTTTATAAACTGCATTCGTTTCTTTTCTGATCTAAAATACTGAACAAAAATTACTTTTATAAATCATTGAAACGGTTCGCTCCACTGATATTTTGTATTTCGACTAAAACGAAGCTTTTAGCGGCTCTGACCAGTAGTAACCCCAGGACCAAAGACGTCACATATCGCGCGCTTTCGGTACCGCGGGTCGCCCCTGTCGGCGGAGAGAGTTTCCGCGTCGTCCGGTTAAAGTATGATGCACTTATATTTAGTACCTCTCTCCGTGCGCTCTTGCTTGCCCGATGCCCAAGAGACGTGCAAACCGCAAAAAAGGTAGAAAAAAAAAGGGGGGGAGGGGGGGGGGGGGGGGGGGCTGGAAGGCGCTTAGCCTCGCTCAGAGTCGGGCGCAAGTGAAGCCACCGGAAGTTCGATGCTTGTCCCGGAAGTCGAGTTTTTGCTGGGTCTTATAGTGCATTTAGTTAATGTTTTGGCTCACGCTTTCTTGCATTTTCACGCGGGCTCTAATAATCCCTTTTAGTAATCAATCTTGAGAAAGGGGCTATACTTCGTTTCAGCTTCCGTCCGAGCGCAGCCAAAGCTACCCGTGTGGCCGGAGCCAATCACACGCCGGCAATAGGTCACGCGATCTCGCCTCTACTTTTGTATCACTCCGCTGCACCGCTGGTCGTCCGCGCCGCCCGCGCTCGCCGGGTATTTCGTCTGCTACGGGTGTATCAACAGTTTCGTCTGGTGCAGGTTTAAAAAATGCTCGTTCACGTTCTGAAATTGAGTCGCAGGGGACGTCAGTACGTATGCTGGCCGCTGGCGCATGTGTCCGATCTTTCCACCCGTTCAGCATTTAAGCATAGTTTCGAGATGTAAGTACACATGGCAAGGTGCCTGATGACTTGGTCGTTGTTGATGTTTCCTTCTATTGTCTGGGTATACCAGGGCTTGAGGCGCAGTCCTTTTCCCCAGCTTCTCGCCGTTCAACGTGATTGGCAGGTAAAGGGGTGCCCCGTTTGCGCCACGTATTAGTGAATTGTAGTGGCCCGGACGCTTTTCTTGTTTGCAACACATTGGCGGTACGACGCAGCCGGAGTCTCCTGCCGAATTTGAAAGTAGACATTCATCACGACCTCTTGCGCCTGATGCCGCAACGTGCCTTTGCGAAAGGACAGTTTGAAGCAATTCGGTCAGGAAAGCAGCGAAGCACATGATTCGGCCATTATCGAAACGAAACCACAAAGAAAAACCGAGCGCTGCAGCCGTGTTGCCAGCGGATGTACGTGTTTTCACCAAACCACATGCATTTACATATATTAATAAAAACATAAACTTCAGATATTTAATTCCTTTAGTTGCAAATCATTCTTAGCAGTACGCATCTGGAATATTGTGCAGTGTTTACGCACAAAACAGTTATATAAAAAAAAATACTTTGGCGAACTACTTTGTGGTGCGTAGGAATGCTCTTCTCGAAGTTGCGAACCGTCCCTCAGCCTTTGGCTGCGCTCGGACGGAAGCTGAAACGTAGTATAGAATCTCGAAATTTTCATACATCAAATGGCATCCAAGAAGACTTCTCGGGCCTGCATGAACTGTTATCGTGCAACAAGCAGGCTCTCTTGATATAACAAAAGCAAATCAAGCGCCTTGGAAACTGTTTGAACCGCCGCTCTGAGGGTGGGAAAGCCTGTCAAGCACTCACTTCCGGGACAAGCCGCTTCCTTGCGGTGGCTTCGTACCTGTTTCCTCAATGCGCCATCAAGCTTTCTAGCGCAGATCAGTGGCCTGCCTCGAAACAAACTGCCATAGGCAAGAACTTTATTTACATATAAACTCACTGATCTCCATGACCATTGTTCGATCGCGCATCCCCACTCCGCGAGTGCGGTCACCGCACGGCCGTCTTTTATGTCGAAAAACATGATTTGCAGCGTCTCGGAGGCTGGCGGCAGCTTACTAAAGAGACGTTTTCCACTCATTCGTCGTTAATCGTCCAAGAAATTTTTTAAAACCCTGTGTAAGCTGTCATACTTGCTGTTGCGAACACGTGTAAATTTTTACGGAAGCGCAGTGCCGCAGAAAAAAGTACAACTCGTCGAAATCAAGTTTCGCCGGTCTTGCGGCGTGATCAAAGCTTCCTTGGCATGCCGAAGCGCTGAGTTTCTGTGCCTTCGCACGCTTGGATACCGATCAAGAGTCGGCGCCGAGGCAAAGTTTCGAAGGTAGGTATCGCATAGATGTCTTCGCATCATATATCGACGACGGAGTTCTGGGTCGTCCAGATGTTCAGACGAGTTGCTATCAAGAAAAGGGGGAAAGCAATCCACACGGTTGCTCTTATGCACTATTAACCATGGCTCGTTACAAATCTACTCTAATAGATCACATAGCAGCACAAATAGAGCAACACTGTGGAGTAAGGAGGGTTTTCGAAAGCAAAAGTACAAGACGTTGAGAGTGAAAATCTTTCAAGCGGGGCCCATATGGTCGTGTGCAATCTGTTGACCAACCACAACTAGGCGTGCCGCACTCAAACGTTAAGTAAAATTAAGTAGGTTGATAATGAGCCACTGCTGATCAGTGATCAGGCGCTGTTGTGCGCGGTATTCTGTAAACCGTCTAACGACGAAAAAAAAAGACGTGCCGTCCTCCCCTCTTCTGTTGCCACTTAGCTAAAAATACAGTCGTCAGAGTAAAGTAAAACGCTGCTCAAGAAGCACATACGGCTTCACGCACATTGCACTTACAAAACATATCCAAACGGAGTCGATTCTTGATCGTCATCCAAGCGTGCAAGGGCACCGAGACGTAGCGCTTCGACGTGCCAAGGAAGCTTTCACCACACCGCGAGACTGGTGAAACTTGCTTTCAACGAGTTCTGCCCTTTTCCTGCCGGCACAGCGCTTCCGTAAACATTTTCACGTGTTCCCAGCGGCAAGCCTCACGTCTTACACATGGTTTTAAATAAATTCTTCGGTGAATGACTACGAACGAATAGAAACCGTGTCTTCAGCACAGTGCCGCCAGCCTCCGCAACGCTCCAAAAACGCGATTTCTCAACATGCTAGATAGTCGTCCGGTTGCCGCACTCGGGCTGCAGCGATCAAGCGGGGATGCGCGATCCAACAATTGTCCCAGGCATCAGTGTATAAACTAGAGAAAACACTACATGCTCTCAGTACATGACAGCGCTCTTTAGAATTATTCAACGAGCGCGCTTCAGCGTTTCAAGTTAAAATTTGATTCCTCCTCTTCTTACCGCGCCCGAAAGCGAAAGGGTGACGGCGCCTGAAAGCAAAAAAAGGTACGGACAGGACGAGGGTAAAAAGTTGGGAAGTTGGTGATTCATAATGATTAAAAAGCGCAACAAGACGACGGACACAGAAGAAGACATAGACACAGCGCTAGAACTGCGTCTTCTTCTGTGTCCGTCGTCTTGTTGCGCTTTTTAATCAT